AATATATATAATGTAATGTACCAATGCGGCATTAAATTTATAATATAAATGTTCCATTAATGCAGCAACAAATTTTCCCGAAATTTCTTTCCAATTTCCAGACTTACATTTTATATGTAAATTAATGTTTCGAATAGATTTCGAAGAATTCCCTTCATACTTCTTTCGTATTTCTACGTCGTTGTTCTACGTTGCAAATATAAGTGACATACGAAGGCAAATGAAGATAGTAGAATATATATAATGTAATATAAAGTAGAATAAAATAGGTCGAGCGGATGTAAAATAAGTAAAAGCGGAAATAGTTTAAGAATAGGATAGAGAAGTAAGATGTTCTTCAGAGGAGAAATTGTAAGATTGATTAAACAAGTAGTAATTTTAAGGTAATTGTATATTATTTAAATAAGTGCAATTTCTGGGATAAGAAGGTGGGAGGCGTAATAATATTTTTCGTTGTTTTCATTGTTCCGTTTTCTTGTAGTTTAGATCGAATATAAGTAGAAAGTGTACGGAGGGTGTGTGGAAATGTGTGGAAGAATGAATATTGGAACAAATGTAAACCAAGTCCCTTCCCGGCAATGTAAGCTGAAGTAATAATAAATCATATCATCATATAAGTGGCATACGAGCCATTTATCAGAGAAAAGGTCGCGACCTATTCTCAAATCAACTAGAAAGTTGTTACCAAATTCATCCGTGTGTATCCGCCTATCTATTATTACTTTTAACATCAACATTATTATCCGGGCCGCTACTTCCGATAAATGATCGACGACGGTGAACTTAAACTTTCTCTCTTTTTGTCCACGTCGCAAGCACGAAATAGATGAAACAGACGAAGACGGAAAATCGCTGATCGCCGATCAACCAGTCAATCAAGGTCGGCTGCGAGTTGTCGGTGCGACTTTTCCCCCCACCTCCTCCTTCTTCTTGCCCACATTATAATCAGTTCTACAATAACGTAGAGGAGGAGGGGGGAAATAAATTGAACCGCAATGAGCCGGGTATGCGAGACCGGTATGATTGTTTCGCGGAGCCGAGATTCGTATCGCGTATTTACATTGCTGGTAGTCCCGATGGCGATTAATGACGGACGGTGAGAGACTGACGGACACACATTTAGCGGTCCGTTACGCATCAAACAGTCGCGTCAGTGTGTCCTTGCTGCTGACGTTATTAATGAAGATCTTACTGAATTAATTCGCGGCCGGCAATGCGGCGGCATTCTCGTGGAAATTCTCGCGCCGTCCGACCGAAGATGATTACTCAATGTTGTAACGTTACACTGAGAAAAAAATTTTCTTCGGATTTAATCAATATTATCGCATCCAAACGAATTTCATCATCGGCACGCTCCGAAGAAACTAACGTTTCGGTCAATAAGTACGATCGTTAAACTTCCCAACGAATACGTATCTTTATTTTGAATAAAAAATTTGCTCGGAACGAAAGATAATTTTCTCGTAAAGAAATGACTTGTTTCATTTTATATATTTATTGCAATCAAATAATATTTTATTTGATTGAAAGATATTATTTCAAATAACAGCGTTCTCTCTGTTAAATAATAGAGTTCTTTCGAATGAGATGATTCCATTTTTATTCAAGCAAATAATATTTCGTACAAGTACATGTTGTTTTTATGAAACGAATTTTAATCAAATAAATAGAAATACTGAATCTGAAGAAGCCATTTTCTCTGCGTAGAAACGGTGGGCCGCAAAATCGAGAGATCAAGAGAAAGAGGGACCGTGAGAAAAGAAGAAGGGGAGATATCAGAATTTCGTTGTTTGCGAAAATTGCCGTTTGAACGAGTTTAGAACGAAATTAGACAGGATGCTAATGGAATAAAAAACCACTAATAGCGAAGCATTTTCCTCGCTGCTGGAAAAAATCAATAAATTGCGATCTCGCTTTTACGCACGAGCGCAACGTATATTTTCATATCGGCAGGGCCGCAAATCAACAAAGTACACTTCTTGCTTTCGATTCAGGCTCCTCGTGAACCAGTCGTACTCCATTTTCGTAATAACCGGCTCGTCCGATGTGGTACACAGCGAGGCTCCTCTTGATGGAGCGTGCCGAGAAAGTGCATCAGACGCGCACGATAACGAATTATGAGGAAAGTTCGCGTCGCGATATTATCGAATGCGTGTAGATGTACACCGTTGGCTGGCAACAAGTAGCGACGCGGTAACCCATCTACGCCTGGCCGCGCGATCAAAAATGAATACCCCGGGCGCGTGCTTGCACAAGAGAGCCGAGAGAGGCTCGTCTCCGCTTTTAAAAGGTATACACGTAGACCTCGTGAAATTGCGCGAGGAGGCCCCTTCTTAGCGCGTATCAGCATTGTAACCTCGATTCCTCCGTGACACCGAGGCGCAGTGCCGTGCCGAGACGCGCGGTCGCCCCGAACGAACGCGACGTTTTACGCGCGAGTGATCTAATTGAAACTAGTAGACATTGCGGCATGATCTAATCTATTAGTCGTACAAATTAATTCGGATCGTTTCTTTATGAAATTCAACATTTCTTTACAAAAAGTCAAATATAAGTTTAATGTTCGAAATAATTTCCATTATTTTCTATGACTCAACTCCAATCTATCGGGCAGCCGATGAGTGCCCTCGTGGAAAAAACTTGGCGGTTTTGACTCGATAAAGTCATCGATGCTTTTTCGGACCTCGTCGACTAGTTTAAAATGCATATCCGTCAAATAATGTTGAAGCGACCGAAATAGGTGGTGATCCGACGAAGCTGGATCTGGCGAATAAGCCGCATAAGGGAGAATTTTTCAGCCCAATGTACAGACGAAATCCTTCGTCCCTTTTGCAGTATGTAACCGCGCGTTATCGTGCAGCGGAATTACCTGTTTAGTTTTATCGCCGATAAAAGGTCTTTTTACAAGTTTTATGGGTCACAGCACCTAAAGCGGAACAAATCATTTCGGCGTACTGGACAGCATTTTTATTTAATCGGAGTGCAAAAAGGATGCAGTGCCTCAAATGCTTCTTTTCGAACAACATCGCGTAACTACTATTTTCTGAGGGTTCTTCAGCAAGGTCGTCAACTATCATAGAGTTTCTTAAAACTTAAGGTTGATACTTTCAAATCACCATGTATATAGAACGGGAAAAAAATTTAAGTTTGAATCAGAGTTGCAGGATATTAGATGCAAAGGCATCAAATTAATATGTACATCTAATATTTTAATTTGTTCGCTCCTGGGCTACCCAGAAAAGACTCTTCTCTAATGAATTCTGCTTTCCCGACTTCACTATATTTTTTTCACCATTTCATTCTCGTAGATGCCTCTTTATGCGCCTTGAATTTGCATTTGGCAATGTGTGAATGTGTAGAATTCGCGGGGATTCTTTGATCTGTGGCGACTTTTATGGCCAATACAGAAGAGCTCACTTCGTCGATTGCTTTTGAAGCTTGCGCTACGTTGTTGATTACACCGGAAAAATTTTTGTGCGTGTCCATTGAGAATGGTTTCCAAAAGAAGGATCGAAATCTATTGTGTATGGATTTTAGTTATATTATACGTGTAACAAGAATGTTGGTTTAAATTATTTACGCACTTATACCTAATGTTTGGCTCTCACATAAGGTGAGATTTAAAGTTAAATTCTATTTGAGTGTACTCAGGGGAGAACCAACGTATTGCGATGTAACGGAAAGTGTGTGTGTGTCTTTGTGTGTATGTGTTGTATTATTCCCAGCCAAATCATTCGATCGCCGCGGCATTCGCAAAAATGCGCGAATGTTCGAACTCTCTTGCGATTCGGAAGGTAACGAGAGATCATCACGAAAAATTCTCTCTCTTTGTAAGGGAATAATTCTAAATTTAAATCCTGTTGAATAAATATAGCGAGAAAATGCCGAGTCACGGTCTTTTTCATAAAACTTATCAACAACCGAATAATTCTCTGCTCGATTTTACTTGACGCGCAGTGACGATGAACTGAAAAGATCACTCAAAGCACCACCGATCATGTGTCTTTCTTGGTCTCGGTAATCATAGAGCGAGTACACAAGCCTATTATCTTTCACATATCGTCACGACCGTTCGAGAGAGACAACTGAGAAATTACACATTCACGGAGGATCGCATGTAAATGCAATCAATAGCGCATTATGTGGCGCTATTATCACTCGCGGTAACAACAAATCGGTGTTCTCGTCCTATCTCGCGCGATGAATAACCGCACAAGAAGAAAGTTTGGTTGAATTGATTGAATGAAACCTGCTGATGAACAAACCAAACGCGCTTCCAGAAGAATTTCTGGTTATCCGGGAAAAAAACGATCATGTGTGAAATTTGCCCATGTACGACTACATATATAATCATATATGTCTACGGCGAAAAAATATTGTTGTTTACAAGTTATGTGTAAATACAATCAAAGTAAATGCTTCCGGCTACTTGTGCTTCTGATAGCCCATGAATATAAGAATTATTATATTATATAATTATTATAATAATATAATTGTTATTATACTATTATATCGACATTTAAGTAAATGACATAACATCACTTTTCTCGCACGGACATATATGATTATATATGTATAATCACATATATGAGCAAAATTTATATATGATTTTATATAATTATATATAATCATATATAATTATTTTTTCCCGGGTATATAAAAACCGTAAATTATTCGGCTTATAAGAGCCGGAAATTCTATTTCCTTCGGCCAAAACGCGTTCGGCTCATTTATATTTAGGTAAATATTTAGGTAAAAGTAAAAGTTTCTTTCCTCATTCAGCTTCGTTTAATTCAGAAGTCTTTTGAATTCTTGAAAATAAAATATATTACTAATATAATATATAAATAATATAGAAAATAATATATAAATAATTTAGGTTAACGTTGTGACGAGCGAAAGCGTCGGGATAGACAGAAGTGATTATCGCAAGCACGACGTGAGATTATAATACGAGCGACAATATTCGACAGCTGAGGCCGAAGCCGGAAAGTACTTACGATTCGCGCACTTCTGCGGTACCGGAAGAGACAAGAATCTACCAGGTCGGTTACTGTGCGGTCGGGCCTCGTTGATCGCCGGCTCGGCGTTGACGAACGCCGCGAACAGCACGAGAGCCAGCGGCACCAGCATCATCTATGTCGCGAAGAGCGAGACAGGTATTAGTTATTATGTTATAACTTGTTAGTTATAGTTAGTACTAGTTAGTTATAATAATGCGGAGAACGCAGAACAAATATCGTTTAACTTGGTGCAATTCGAATTAACTTTCGTAATTCTCGCGATAAACGGACGTTCTGCAATTTCCCCGTATAGAATATTTCTATGAAGTAATACGCACACACACAGAGAAAAAGAATTCTTTAGATTTGGCATTTCTATTTATTTCACTAAAACTTGTCTCATAGAAACAACAAATATGAAATATTATTTGTTCGAGTGAAAATTGTGTCGTCTCATTTAAGGAAACTCAATTATTTAACAGAAAGAACGTTATTATTTGAAATAATATCTTCTAACCGAATAGAATATTATTTGGTTACAATAAATATGTAAAATGAAGCGAATAATTTCTTTTTGTAAAAAATTATCTTTCGTTTCAAACAATTTTTTTACTGACAAAGATATATTTGTTGAAAAGCCTAACAATTGTATTTATTAATCGAAACATTAGTTTCCTTGGAGCATACCAATAATGAAATTTGTTTGGATGCAATAAAATTTATTAAATTTGAAGAAATCTTTTTCTCAATGCACGGAGAAAAAAAAGAAGTCGGATTACTACAATCCATGAATGAAACAAACGTGTTTTGATCCAAGAAAACATCATTTTTTATTCTTACGAACGAGATTTGGTTGCAAGAATTAGAAATTCCGCTTCCTCCAATCAAAACGCTCGTTCATGGTTGCGTTAATATGACTGACTTTTTTCTCCGTGTACAAATAGAAATTACAAGTAGCACATTTAAACAAAACATATAAAAAATATTAACTTTAGTTGTAAATATATCGAATGATCAATCTTTCTTCTAATTATATGAGATAATATTTATTCATTAGTTAAATAATATTTTAATGTATACGCAGTACAAGTTTTATTGATTTTTGTCAAATTCACTTCACCTTACAACCTTCTTAAAGATAATTTACGCTTAGGTAGTTTATGGATTTAATTTTGCAGATTTAACTTTAATGTTACCTTAAACGTATTTTGACACTAAAACGGTGAGAACGGAAATTTAAGATACGATAAGGTCAAAATAGAAGTTAATCATATTGATAGAGTTGAAATTGAATCTACTTTGCTACCTTAGCTCCTTCTGCGTTGTAGAATTAAAAATTTAACATAGGGCCAACTTTTCTATTTGGATGATTTCCTCTTTATTTTACAAAACGACAGCAAGCAAGAAAAATCGGGGAATAAAACCGTTGAGAATTGAGAAATCGTGCAAGTTAAGAAACATCAATTATAAAACTCCGGTAATTTCGATGAAACGTGATGAAAAGTGCCAAGCGAAAGAGAGAGAGTGCCGTATCCGGCGAACAAACCCATCATGTCATACGCATTAATAAAAAAAATGGTCAACATTTTTCTTACAAGATCATTCGAGATTTGTTTGTTGTACGATGAGATAAAACGCGGCCTACGAGCCGTCAACAGGTGTGCGCGCACGCTCGTGAATTAACGGGATCGACGATTCAGTTATTAGATGTACAAATTAATTCGGTGCCCTTTAATGTTCTACAACTCTCGTTCAAATTTAAATTTTTTTCCCGTCCAAAATGGTGATTTGAAAGTGCCAACCTTAAGCTTTAAGAAGCACTATAACAGTTGACGGCCTTGCCGATGCAACCTCAGAAAACAGTAGTTATCACGATATTGTTCGAAAAGAAGCATCTGAGGCACTGCATCCTTTTTGCACTCCGATTAAATAAAAATGCTGTCCAGTCCGCGGAAATGATTTGTTGCGCTTTGGGTGAAGGTACTGTGACCCATAAAACTTGTAAAAAGATCTTTTACCGGCGCTGGAACTAAGCAGGTAATTCCGTTACACGATAACGCGCGGTCACATACCGCAAAAAGGACGAAGGATCTCGTCTGCACATTGGACTGAAAAATTCTCCCTCATGCGACTTATTCGTCAGATCAAGCCCCGTCGGATCGCCACCTATTTCGGTCGCTTCAACATCACCCGGCGGATGCGCATTTTAAAACAGTCGTCCGAAAAAGCATCGATGACTTTATCGAGTCAAAACCGCCAAGTTTTTGTCGCGTTCATCAGCTATCCGATAGATGAAGGAAAGTCATAGAGAATGACGGAAATGATTTCGAACTTTAAACTTGTACTTGACTTTTCGTAAATAAACTTAGAATTTCGTGGTGAGAGAGCACCGAATTAATTTGTACACCCGATAAATATCGATTTAGTCGTTCGAACGTCGCGATTTGATCGCGACCGCTCGGGGGACAGTCCCGGTGAGAGTTCCGTTCCATACATAACGCGCCGTTCACATATAGGCATATGCGACACACTGCGCGCGGACGCACTCAGGTTCCCTTCCATCGGCAGAAGTTTCTCTTAGGGAGTGTCTCGTCTAATGAAGTCTCAAGAGACCGATTTTTACCACCTTCTTTTTCTCTCTGCCTTTTTCTTATGCGCACGCGAACGCCACGGTATTATCCGTATATGTTACGTGACTCGTTAAAACGCTCGAATGGAAATTTCTCCGGCGGAGACGTCACGGAGAGGAAAGAGCGGATCTAAGTTATCCTTGGATCTCCTAGAAACGAGACCGATACCGGATGTAGCTACGTAGTTTCTCAAATAAAACGCTTCGCCGGATCAACGGGAAGTGCAACGCGCCCGCACGTGTTTCCGTGTTTGCGTTAGGTCGTTGCATTCACGGAGAAAACAAATTTCGCTGGAGCAGCGAATGTTTGTTAATATTGTAACAGCGTAAAAAATTGGTTCGTTGGATGGCAGAAAGATTCGTTAAGAATATTAATCGTCCGTGCGTCCAGCAAACAGCAATTAATACTCATAACCAATTTTTCTGCTGTCCGAACAAATTTCTTGCTGTTCGAACAAATGTTTCTTTCTGCTGTCACTGTATTGACAAACATTTGCTATTCTGGCAGAATTTGTTTTCTCCGCGTTCGAATTGAATTTCGTTTTCGGTTCAATTTTCGATGCTGCGGAATAAGGAGAGACTCGATATCGCCGGAAATGCACAAGGAGTCTCCTGTACATCTCGTCCGTGGCATCGAAATTTGAACTCACCGGAATAATATCGAAAAACGTCGATCCTCGACGACGATGGCGACGACGACGGAGACGACGACGATTTCAGGCACTCACCTTGTATCACTAGTCTCTTGGATAACTGAGGACAGAAACGGTGGAAGAAGAAATGGCGGTTAAAGAAACGTGGTCACTGATAGGATATGGAGAGACGGGCGCCTTCACCGTCGATTATATAGAAATGCTCCCCACCAGCGTTGCGGCAGGCGCATCCCACCCTTCGCTAGTCGGAGGACTCAACGGGACGATGGATCGAGACACCTTAATCATAATTAGTCCAGATAATTGGGGGTTACAGACCGACCTCGGACGATCCCAGTGGGATGATCATGATATCCTCTCGGATCCTTCGCTCGCTTTTGTCGTTGCCGAATCCGGCCCACGAAGGTAAAATCCGAATGGACGGATTTAACGTAGTAGGGAGGGGAGGACACCGATAATTCATTGATATGGTAAGTTATTGACTTGCGCAATTATTGCGCAAGAGGCAGACGCTATCTCGGTGGACTAAGTTCGTTAATTTCAGCCGATCGACGCGCCTTTACGACGCGCGGAACGGCTCGACAGGCTGTATGATCCGTTACTGGATCAATCTTTCCTTTCGCGAAGCTGCCGTATATTCACTGTGTGTAAAGAACTATCGCGGCGTATTACGAAATGGGTCTAAGATAGGAGCGGATCGCACTGGTTTTCATCGTACCGTCGAGAAATTATCACGCTCGTCAAATTAACGTTGACGTTGACGTTCTCGTAAACTGAAGAGAAAATCAAGTGAAATGAGCCGAGTTGCGCAAATATGGTTGCACACAAGCGATGCAATTGAATTAAGTCGAGGAAGAATCGAATCAATAATCTGACCTAAGAATTTAAGCAGTCAAATCAATCATAGAAAATAAGTCAACTGTAAAATGAAAAAAAAAATTAAGAAACTGAAAAATCAAACTGCAAAATCAACGATAATTAGCAAATAAATTAGAAAGTTAATAATAAATGGTTAAGGAAGTTGAAAGGTAATTGTTATGTATATGTTATAGATGTTTCTTCAACTGCCGAATAGTCCAACTGCATAATACGAGTAATTTTATCTCTGATAGAAGATTAAATCCAATGATAGATGTGACCAATAATGGATTGAATCGGCTTTGTGGAGGTTCTCTCATTGAACTCAATTTTAAATTTAATTTATACAAACAAAAGATTGAAATTACACTAAACTCTTGCTGAAAGAACCAAAGCAGTTAGCTCGCTATATTTAATCTTGAAATTGAATTCGCTTAATTCTATTAATATATTGTTTAATGTATATATTAATATACATATATAAACATATAAATAGAAGCCTATTAAAATTTCTCATCATAAAAGTTTCATAAGCTCGCTTCGTTCTTACACATTAATTCTCTACATATACGAGTATATTTAATATTCGTATAGGAAATCAGAGTGTAAAAGCAAAGAAAACTTATGAAAATTTTATAATGAAATGTTTAATAGGCTTTCTACTTGTACTTTTGCGAACAAAACTGGAACGATGAGATCGATTGACGGTACGTCGAAACCAATCGGACTCGAGGCAGCTCGGCGATCGATCGATCAATGTTCACCTACATTTTTGCCGACGCGGCATTTAATGATAGGATAGGTTGAAGTTAACAGGTAATAAGACTGAACTCTTTATTCCCACAGCGCTCTGCTGACCGCGCGATACCGTCGATTATGAGATCCGCGATCTGTAACTAATTTCCTCATATTTCCAAAGCCGCATGACTAATGTCCTCTCGATTTACGAGGTTCACCGTTCCCGGCAGGTGAGCCTTGAACGATATTTTCCGCGAGAGTCGACCTAAATTAAGCGCAAGAGCAAATTTGGTCGGTTACAGTTCCGCTCTTGAAAACTAACTAGCAGAGATCCGTTTGCTTTTCGTAAAATATACCTGCGGTCGGGACGTCGCTGGTGTATTCCCGTCGAGGCGGAACAGCCGCGTCGAACTTTAACGAAGCACGAAAATGTCCTAAAAGCATCTCCCAGCACATCCGAAATTTCCAAAAAATAGTGATAGACTTGTAGATCATAATAATCCCGAGTTTTCGAAATTTTGATGCTACTTTAACGCTCTTGAGGATACTTTGCGCTTATTTAGATGGCTTATAGATTAATGAAACCCTATTTTCACGATATCGACACTTATGAACTTCTCTCTTGCATCTTGAATTATACAAATTTAATTTTAAGATTTTTTTAAACATCCTATTTTAACACTAAACCAACGAAAATAGAGATTTAACAGATCATCAGTGTCAAAGTAGAACTAAACTATATTATTAGAATTTTTTGAGAGAAAATTACCAGTTATTAGAGAATTATTAGAATTAGTTAAAGAACTGTATTTGGAGAAAAATTATTTAGAGAATTATTAGAATTGAAATTGAACTGATCTTTCTATTTTAGCTTCTGTTGTATTGTAGAATTAAAGGTTTAACTCACAGAGCTGACATTTCGATTCAGCATGAGCCGCAATTTTGACCGGTTCATCGCAAGATGCCGCGCCCATTTATTAGAAGTCCCCTGTTAATCGACGTCCGGCCTAGAAAGAAAAAGCATATTTTGTTCCAACACTTGCCAGAGTGTTTATCATCGACGTCAGCTTGAAACGAGACGCTCGAGTCAATAGCGGTACACTCGACGATATCGTAGATATAAAAAGACTTTCCATTTCTTTGAGACTCGACTTCGCGACGCGACGAATGGACCCGCCATCGTCGGCACGCGTCTCTCGTTTCAAATGTTAATACGGAGTCTTTCTGCGCGTCTTTCTCAGACGAAATTCTCCGGCTTCGGAGACGGAACGGTAGGGCGACAATCGTTGAATTCACTTATCGTTGATGTCGCGTTATGTAAACGAGGCGAGGATACGACGGATGCGTAATGAACGCCCGATCGAAGAAATGGAAAGTGTTATTGTTATCTGAACGATCGTGACAGGTGTTGTCGAGATGCGCGTTTTACTTTATTAGGTGTTACAAATTAATTCGGTGCTTTACTTTCGTGAAATTCAAAGTTTATTTACAAAAAGTCAAGTACAAGTTTAATGTCCGAAATCATTTCTATTATTTTCTATGGCTATACTCCATCTATCGGGCAGCTGATGAATGCCATCCCGGAGAACACTTGGCGATTTCGACTCAACGAAGTCATCGATGCTTTTTCGGGCCTCGTCGACTGTTTTAAAATGCGTATCCGCCGGATGATGTTGAAGCGACCGAAATAGACGATAATCCGACGGGGCTGGAATTGACGAATGAGCCGCATGAGGGAAAATTTCCCAGTCCAATGTACAGATGAGATCCTTCGTCCCTTTTGCAATGTGTGACCGCGCGTTATCGTGCAGAATCACCCGCCTAGTTCCATCACCGGTAAAAGGTTTTTTTACAAGTTTTATGGATCACAGCACCTAAAGCGGAACAAATCGTTTCGGCGGACTGGACAGCATTTTTATTCAATCGGAGTGCAAAAAGGATGCAGTGCCTCTGATGCTTCTTTTCGAACAACCTCGCGATAACTACTGTTTTCTGAGATTACATCGGCAAGGTCGTCAATTATCATAGCGCCTCTTAAAGCTCAACAAGGTTGGTACTTTCAAATCATCAAAGAGGGCGGGAAAAAATTTAAATTTGAACTAGGACATTAAATGCAACGGCACCGAATTAATTTGTACATCTGATGGGTTGAGAAGTTATTTTTTAAAGGAAACTCTTTGTTGTTACTCATTTTGAAAAATAATTCATTACCATTATTTTTACTTAAAAAGTAACAAGTTCTTACAATTTCCGACTTTCTTCATCGTCAGATTTGAAAGATTCTGTCATTCCTGTCACTTGTATCCAACATGGAAAATAATGATAAAAGCAACAATTATTTCTGTTATCGTTACACGACGAAAATAATTACGTGGCCTTTACCTTATTAATAAAAAAAGTGAAACAAAGGGACACCGTTATTAAGTCGTTGCTGCGAAGATCAATTTTCTTGTAACTCTACCAGCGTTACAAGCGACGAATTATTTCCCAACTCCGACGACGATGGACGTGCTTCGACAAACGAAGGCGCACAGAGGCCGACGCAAAAGTAAAATAAAAGAGAAAGTGACAGCACCGCTTCGTTATCTATTCGCACCTTGGAATTTTATCTCGTCGGAACGATTGAGAGTTGCCGGATGCGCTCGATAGAAAGTGCGCGAACGTGCGAGCGAGTACGGAGTCGCGGTTATCACCTCGAAGCTGATCCTCCATCTCGAGGATGCATCTCGCTATGTCGTTTGTACGATGACACTTGGGCGGCGCGAATCGCACGTTAGTAGTCGTCAAGCTCACTCTAAACACCCGACTAAATTATCATCGGCATTATTTCGCGCGCGATGCCAGTTACCTGATGCACGTTGATCGGTAATTAAGACGCACAATGGGGCAATTAACGTTTGGCAATTAAGGCGCTTCACAGTCGGGCGAAATGCTTGAAAACCGGGATATCGGAAGGAAAGATGAAATCCCTTTGCATTCGGATGTCCCTCTCAGGGGACATCAGAGTTTATTAGTGATTACAGAGGATGAGCTTATGCCGCGGCCATTTTTTGAAAACTGTATGTTTCTTTGAAGTTTTCCATTAAAATGGCACAAGAAAGCAAATCAAAATATATATACTGGTATATATACTGAAATATATGGAAAAAATGTCAGCCGGCATTACGTCGAACCGGAACGTTTGTAGTGCATTCACAGCGGCCAAACAACAAGCTGCACATTTTAAATGTTAGAGGAAGAAAACGGGACTGCATTGTCTGCTCACACAGAGAAATACCGGGTGGAAGACGACAAACAAATTATTTTGGTTCAACGTGCACCAACGAACCCGCGATGCACATCGGTGGCTGTTTTACACGTTACTACACATTAGAAAATTATAAAACATAAAATTTGTATTTTTTTTATCAGAAATATGTTCCTTTTAATACCTAACGATTCATATAAATCAAGCGGCAGAATAAATTACTTGATTCCGAGGATAAACTATTTAATATGACACGATTCCCGTCCGCGCGCCTTCCCAAGTAGATGCCGCCGAGTTGCTGGTAG